TCTTGAAGTATCTCCTGGGAGTCGTATCACAGCTGGCGTGCCGATGTTGCCCAACCCTGGCATAGCCAATGAATGGCACGTATAGGGGAACCCTGAACTCTTTTCTTCTCTTCTGATTCCCAAAGAGCATTTCCTTTGGTTATAGCCGTCATCGATAAAGCTGAAGCCAAGGAGGCCGGCAGATGGGACAGAGGATCACATGAGTATTTCTTTGTTATTTTAGACCCTGGGCCAAAATTAACACTTAACCCTTGCAGGGCCGGGGTATCACCAATGCAAGCGTACATTTTGCTTCTGCCCGGAGTTCTTCTTAAAGAACTGCGAAAAATCTAAAAATGAATAAATTGTAGTCCATACCGGTGTTCTATCGAAAGCTCCAACTCATCGAGATCTCCAACTCCCTCACTTCCGGTGTTCAGAAAGACTTGGAGCTCTGTACAGTTGCGGTGCGCACGGCGTTTTCAGAATACTCGTCGAGTTTCCCACCTGCTGAATATTGTTCCAATGCGGCTGTACCGAGGCTCGTTCAGTCTTTGTGTTTTGTAGCCTAACATCGTCCGGTCGAAATCCACAACTTGCAAGTACCCGGCAGGTAGGTAGTTGGAGATTTTGATGCGTTGGACCTTTCGATAGAACACCAGTCTTGTTATGGTCTAGAGCAGTGGTTCTCAACCTGTGTAACCTCGGGACCCACATTTTTCATACCCAAGCCACACTGCAATGGAACGCACAACAGTGTGGGCATTGCTTGTACAGCTCTAGTGCGCACCCTGTGGAGGTGCCGGGAGCCAGAATGGGATGTAATTCTGGTCCAAGCACCTCTACAGGACATGCAAGGAAGCTATAAGCAATTCACGCATGGATGGAGCTCCCTCATGGCCATATCCCCAGCTCACCCCTGTGCTAGGGGGAGGCTCGGGAGCCTCTCACCTAGAAAAGTGGAAGCCATGCGGCGACCCACTGAACATGGGGTCGCGACCCACTTTTGGGTCACGACCCACCAGTTGAGAACCAAGGGTCTAGAGGACAGAATACGGAAGATTTACTCACCCAATCCTCGGCTATGCGGCAGTGAACGCTCACCCCCTCCGACTCCGGCCGTGGTATATTCCTCGTCGTCCTCGCGTCTAATGGACTCGTATTAGATGCGATGATGTCACAGGTCCTTATAACGCAGGAGCCTGGGGGGAGAAGAGGCCGCAGGGACCGGTCTAGCAGCTGATGGGGCGGGTGTGAGGTTCGGGGTGAGTATATCTTTATTATTTTAGCCCCTAGACCTAAGCGAGCACTTTTAACCCTTGCAGTGCCGGGATAGCCCCAGTGCACAGGTTAAGTTTTCTTCCGCCCTGAGTTCTTCTTTAATGGTCCGCATCTCAGCAGTCTGTCTGCAAGGATGCTAACCTCATTCTGTGATGCGCAGGGACAGTAGAGGGGCCTCTTCAGATGTGGACGTGGAATATGGAAAGTGATGATAAAACAATGCGCTGGTAGAAGTTCTGATGGTATCAGGCGATCCGTTCCATTTTCCACATTCTCAGCTCTGCACCTGGTGATCGGTCTTCTGTTTATGAAGGTTCTTGTTCTGCGTTGTGCTGCCTCTGTAATCGCCTCCCCGGGGGGGCCCCACAGATTCAAGTCTCCCGTAGAGATTTTCCGAGACCTGTTCTCACCTTCATAATGACATCCCAGGGAATAGGAGACCTCGTCACCGGCTCTCATCCACATCCACCCCGGAGACAGCCGCGCTTTAACCCCTGCGCTGCCAGAGCCGTTCCGGCTTTTTTACATTCCCGGTGCCGCTGCAACGTTCTCCATGTGCCGTGCATTGCGCTGCGCTGCGCCTTGAATAAAAGGGTCGTGCGTGTTTTTTTTAACCCTCGGTGCTTCCCTAAGGGCTGGTGCGGACCTGGGTGATCCGGGACGCGAATCCCCAGACCGCGCGATCGTGCACAATTGCACACAGCGATTTCTGCGCAGCCCAATTGGGGTGACGTCCGTGCGCCAATCACAGAAACATGTACTTTGTTGGGGTTTTTTTTGCGAGACGTGATGCGTGTTCCATTGCACAGGTGGAATCGCAGCGGGAGACAGTGCAATCCGCCCGGTCGCACCGGGGGGTGCCATTAGAAAATAATGGTGTGATCGGCGATGGTGGGCGACTTATGACCGCATGGCAATCCGCATGGTATCGTGTTTGATTGTTACGCGGTCACGGATGGTGCACGTGTGTGTGGCCTCAACAGTTCAACAGACGCGCAACACATCACATGTACAATTTTGTGGAAACTCATTGGGGGGAATTTATCAAAACTGGAGCACAAAAAATCTGGAGCAGTTGCCCCTGGCAACCAATCAGCTTCTCTCTTCAGACTGTTACGTTAAGCTTTGAAAATGAAAGAGAGAAGCTGATTGGTTGCTGTGCACAGCTGCTCCAGTATTGATTCCCCTCATTTACATGAAAGCGTTCCGTTAGCGCCCGTGGGTTAACCTGACTTGTGTTATAAATGGGCCGCCAACACAGCGCAAGGGATGAAGAACTGCAGCACCACCAACGCATGGTATGTGTGTTGTGCTCTGTGTACAGTGTGTTGGGGTGGCTTTCACAATGAATGGCACCACAACGCACATAGAGCAGGTCCATTACCATGTGCAATAGCGCATGTCGCCACAGCGCAGAAGTGTGATTGGGCCCTACAATGTATAAAGAAAGGAACGATCAATCCCACTGATCATTGTGTGTGCCATGGTTTATAGGGACTTTACTCCCCGTCATATATCCCCCCCACCCCGGGGGGGG